ATCATATCCGGGTTCAGCTTTAATCTATGTTAAACGCTTCGCACAGACAGGTATTTTAACGCTCCATCCAAAATACAGAAAGAATTATATTTTTGAAGTAAAATAGAAAAGGATTGTATGTATGTATGTATGTACGTATAACACAGACTTCCTCAACAGAGGATCTAGCAGGGCCTCTCTGAGCAGCATGCCATCTGTCATGAATATTATCCTCGTATTTGTTGACGTATTGCTATCGAATCTCACAATATAGCCTACCTTTATCAGTATTATTTATAATTATTATTATTATTTATTATTATTATATTTATAGACCAACCCATAATGGATGGAGACTTTATACAAGTAGAGATTGATTTATTGATATTATTATTTATAATTATTATTTATAACTACTCTTACTACTACTTTAACAACAACAACAACAATAATAATAATAAATTAGGACCCTAACTAACCGTATGACCTAATTCAGATCCCAACTCGACGGCCACTCTCTTAGCTAAAGATACGGCTGCCACACGACGAGGCTAATGGAAAAAAACAATAATAATAATACTAACAACAATAATAATAATAATAACAATAATAATGTATTTTCATCCTACCTGAGTGACAGCTATGCACTTGTACCTGTTGATGTTTGCTTGGAAGACGAACTGCCAGCCGAATTGAATTACAAAGAAATAACCATCATCAATAATAATAATAATAATAATAATAATAATAATAATAATAATAATAATAATAATAACAACAACAACAATAATAACAATATTAATAATAAGAATAATAATAAATTAGCTTAAATAGAGCATGTATTTGTCATGAATATGATGTTTGAATAAGGTATGTACTAGGCCAATGTAAACTCATATGAAGCTCTTCTTGAAGCATAGACGGAGCATTTGAAATTTAGTCAGAGCCGCAATCAAATGACGATGGAAAGATAGAAAAAACCTTGGGGACTTGCGTCGTTTTTCCACTTCCGGTTTCGCCGACAAGGACCAAAGAATCGTTATCTCTAATTTCTTTTTTGATCAACTTCTTTTGTCTATATATCGGTAGTCTGTTAATTTCATCTGCCATCTTTCCATCTTCAGTGATTGTTTGATTGATTGATTGAATGAACAATCTATCATTCATTCGTTTATTCATTCATTCAATCAATCATTAATTCAATCATTCATTCAATCATTTTAACATCCATCCATCAACCAATCACTTTTTGTCATTAAAATTCATTTATTCAAGTGTAATTTTTGAAAGATTGAACGAGAGAGAGAGAGAGTGAGTGAGAGAAAGAGAGA